GTTTCTTGTGCTACAAGGACATGATTGTCATAAATCATTTGCACAGGTATTGGTTTGGAACTATACCGGATAGACCTATAAAAATACTTTAAGAGATTTAAAATCGTCATAAGTATATTTCTCATTATAGCTATCGAAACCTTTTTCCTCGCCCATGAGAATTGTAAGTTCTCTTGTTTGAGTACTAGTCTGTTTGATGTTGTCAAACGTCTGCCGTAAATGAAGATTATAACGGCAACACTCGAGTGGCTGGGTCCTCTTAGTAAGGGAAGCTAACAATACAAGACTGGGAATGTCCCCCTATTAATAATAGGGAACATGTCTTTGTTGTTTACAAGGCCTCTCAAAGAGCGAGACTGTGAAAATGCATGATCTTGCTCAAATGGATTTTAGAAATCATCTGCTTATTGACAGTCAAACTCGGAAATCGGGAAACACTTCTGGACGTAATAAGGATTACGAAGAATCTTACCTTATAGTTCATGAAGAGACATTAAGTGACATAGAAAATGGGCTATACACTAACTACACACTTGTCCAGAAGGACAAGTGGAAGATTGAAAGGAATGGTGTCCTTCCAATAAGTGTATTATTCCGATAGAGGGTTCGGAATTATTAGAAAGTTAATTATTCAGTAAGGTCAAGTGATCGAAATGTCTAGCTGGAGGCCGCTTCCGATCAGTAATATTAATATATAATTAATATTACAGCTTAATCTTGACTGAACCCTTCCACACCCCAATCGAGTAACCGATCCGAGGCGACAAATCAATCTGAAGGATTAGATGAGTCATTAGAGTATTACAAACAAAGACGTTAGATATTGAGCTTAGAGCGTCAAAACCGAGCGTCATAAGTCGAGTCGAATTTAAAATCGACGAGACGAGAAATCAAGCAGACGACAAGTTCAAGCTAAGCCGTAACCTCGCATTGGCCTAGCCATGCGAGTGCTAGGCTAGCATAGTGCACCAACCGCATCGCTTGGCTATGCCGCAAGCCAAGCATGCATGTGCGTGCTAAGCTTATTGGCCAACCATACTTTCAGGGTTAGTGTGCCTAGTCGCTCGCACGCTAGCTCCAACACGCATGGCTGGGAATCAAGGCCTTGGCGAAGGCATCAAGCAGCTGGCGTGCAAGGGCGAGCATCACCCCTCGCAAGCATAGCACCAGGTGCTAGTGTAGTAAGCGTGGCATGCGTGCTGGGCTGCTCGCACTCGTTGTCGAGCTAGCAGCGCCCAACATAAGCAACGCAGCAGCAGCAGTAGCCCGCATGGCGTGCGTGGCCTGCTTGCTGTGCATATGCAAATGCGAGCTGGCTGGCAAGCCCGGCCATGGTGTTAGGCGCCAGCGAGGCAGCCTTGGCAGCCAAGGCATGCTGCCAGCCAGCTCATGCGTGTGCCAGCACATTCTCAAGAGGGGACCGGTTTTGGTGGGTTGCTTGGGGAGCAAGGGGAGTTTGGTCCCCCCCTTATGGTCCCCACCTAACCCCCTTGCTCACTTCTTGACACTTGGCGTTTATTGATTCACTTGCATTTTCAATTTGATTTTTGAATTAAAATAAATTGAATAAAGTGCATTTTTACTAACTCTCCCGCATTTATGGGAGATTGGAATTCAAGGCTCCCTTCCCTATAAATACCCATCATTCGGGATTGGGGAAGAGACACTTGAGTTGTGAATTTTAAGGGATCTCCAAGAAGAGAATACCTTAATTCTAATACTTTAAGTTTCCTTGGTCTAGCCCTGATTAAGCTTCGGGGTAGGGACCGTTCGGGTCGGGTCTTGAGGGTGAGAGCTGTTGGAGGCTTACGCATTTGCGGAGCTAACGCTTTCAAGTACGAGCTCTTAGAAAGAGAGAAGCACGCGTCAAGGGTAAGATCGTCTTTTCTTCTTTCTCTCTCCTTGTTAATTAATTATGTGATAATTAATTAATTAACATGCATGTTTAGTTACTTTAATTTGTGTACGGATTTTGGGAGGTTTCATTCCGCGTAGTGTCAGTCACTACGAAACCCAACACCATCATCTTATTAGCAGCTTCCATGGAGGGTAAGGCCGTAATATCACTCTGAGTATCGCTACTAGGCAACCCGATAGAGTCTAGATTGATAGAGGGATTGCTGATCTTCCCTTTTTTGTTGAATGTTGTGTATGACAAGTCGAACTCCTCAGTGCCCCTCTTTCCCTTGATCATGCTAGATTTTCTTCTTAACCCCTTCACCTTCTCCAATTCGCGAAGGATGTCCTGATTTTTAGGCTCAGTCTTAGCTGCTTTGCCAAGATCTTCATGGGACTCTTCAAGTTGATAAAGCTTGATTTCGGCTAAAGTCCTTTTATAAAGGGCTTTAATATTGTTACCATCAAGCACAATGACTAATGAGAAGAGCTACTTAGTTTGTTTGAAATCACATACTTTCAGGGTGCAAGATGCAAGGTTTAGCTCAAGGGATATGGCAAGGTTCCATAGGAAGACACAATCATCTTCATTTCTCGGCAGACAAAAGCATAAAAGTTTTAGCCCTCTGTCATACTTAGGCCCAGCAAACACGACTTCACCTTTCTTGAAGTAAGAATTACCCTCCTATTTCAAATCTTTTGCTTGATTAAGAATGTTCTGAGGGCAATTATTTTTGGCAAAGTTGACAATGGTTTCGTCAAAATCATCGTTCAAGTGGATGTGCATTAGGCCATCAAGTAATAAGCGACAGTCCACACTAGAAAATTGAAAAGGGAAAGGAAATTGACGAAAACTTCACGAAAGAAACTGGCAACAAAGTAGAACAGCAGATTAAAAAACTGAAAAACTACGGGAAGGCATTTGGCGGCCTACCCAGACAACAGTCGTAGATCGACGGTGGCCGAGACCCTACCACCAAGACAGACATTGGCAGCGGTAAAACCACCTTGGGCTCCCTCACGAAGGACTGACAAGTCCCAAAAAAACAAACGAGAGAGGAATCAAGCGGCGGATCGGCCGTCAATCAGATTGTCGGCAACCGAATAGCACTTCCTTAGGCGGCAAGGACAACAGTTGTTCGGTCAACACGAGGTACAGCCTGTAGAAATGAAGGCCTCCTCGCGATCAGGTGGTGCCGACTCCGCGAAGTGGTCGGATATGAGCTTTAATGGACTCGCCGGCGATCGAGAGGGAACACGGCCTACTCAGATCGCCAGCGGCTCACCGGAGAATGCTAGAGAAACTAGAATTAGAAAACTGGGGGCCTTGAAAGCAGTTTGCTTTTTGGGAGTTTTGTTCTCTCGCACGTGAGGCGCGTTCCTCATCTTTCTTTTGGGGGTTGTTAAACGTCGCTCCCATTTTACTAGGCGTCACTCGTATTTTTTGCTTGAAATTTCGTATTTACCCCTCGTATATAAATACTCCCGACACTCACAACACATTGTACGCTCATACTTCCCTCTCATATTATCTCTCTAAAATTTAAAAATCTGAAAATAAAAATAAAATAAAATAAAAAGTAAACACATCCACAACCCACCATCGACAACTACCAATCCAAGGAGGGTAGAAGAAATTCGGCGATGGCGGACCCACAGCGAATCCTGGTGACATACGGTGGTCGAGGCGGCAGCACCGGAGGCAATTAGGTATGTGTTTAAATCGAAAAAAAAATCGCAACTTGGAACATTCGCTTGAAATTTCAAGAAAAACCAAGGTGGATCCGTCTGAAATTTCCGGATCCTCCTTGGTTCATCTGAAAATTTCAGGCGGATGTTCCAAATTTATATTTTTTTTTTCGTGATTAATTTTCTTAAAAAAACTGATTATTATTATTATTAGTAATGTTATTATTATTAGTAATATTATTATTATTATTGTTGTTGTTGTTGTTGTAATTGTTGTTGTTATTATTGTTGGTAATATTATTATTATTGTTATTATTGTTGTTTTTGTAGTTGTTGTTTTGAACTATTGCTATTAGTATGTTGCGAAATATGTGGTTTATAATTATTATTATTATTGTTGTTATTATTATTGTTATTAATATTATTATTGTTATTATTGTAATTATTGTAATTATTGTAATTATTCTTATTATTATTATGATTATTATTATTATTATTATTATCGTCCTTATTATTATTAATAATGTTGTTGGTGATGGTGTTGTTCTGAAATTATTTTTTTTGAATATTAATATTTGTTGTTCAACTGTAATCAAATAGTTATATTTGTAATTATTACTGATATTTGATTTTGTACTTATTTAATGTAGATTGAGGGTTCAAGTGCTCGTCATGCAATATCAAGACGTTTGAATGCGTCTATTAGGAGGAAGTCAGGTCGTTCAGTAATTACAGGGGAACCGTTTTGTCATGGGCAGCAATATGGGTCTCCTAGTAGTTGGTCGGGAGAGCATCAGTCACAAGGGAGCCTCCCCATGTACTCGTCGGGTGGACTGCCTACATCTGACGATGAGGACGAAGAGCGGGCAAGTCATGCTAATCGAGACGAAGAGTATGACCCTAAGGATTATCATACAGTATATAGGGGTCAGCATGGGAGATTTGTTAGTAGTCAAGCGAGTCAACCTACTACTAGCTCAGCAGAGACATGGTTAGTGCAGCAGCCGATGCCAAGTGGTCCTGAGGATGGGACTGTTATCCCTAGTTTTGGTGGTCACAAGGCGTCATATATATGGGGCGGGACAGAGCGAAATGTTTTGCGCTGTTTGAGTAGGACACAGTTGTGTTCTAAATTGGTTAACTGGCGAGGTTGTCTTGCACAGGAGCACCTCGAATTTATTTATGGCAGTGGTATGTCTCACTTACCCGAGATTATGTTTAAGCGTCTCGACTGACCGTTGATTTCTACTTTTGTTGAGATATGGCAGCCAGATACGAACACATTTCATATGCCATTTGGGGAGATCACGATCATGCTGCACGATGTGTACCATATTCTTTGGCTTCGTGTTGATGGTTCCATGGTTTCCACTACTCCTAGCACGGACGCCATACGGGACGCGTGCTCAGTTACCATGGATATGACTGCGGAAGAGTTGAATGAGAAGTGCGGTACTAAAACCAATTGGCAGGTTAGTTGGGTGCTGACTGAGAGGATTTTTGGTACGACTTTGGAGGCACAGCGGCCCTTCAGTGTCCATTATACTACATATATGTGGTTAATACTAGGAGGATCACTGTTTTTAGACAAGAGTGGTAACCGCACTCATCCTTCCTTCCTCCACGAGCTTGATATTAATGATGTACCAATTAATGAGTACTCTTGGGGCTCAGCTACTCTAGCCTACCTGTATTGGAAGTTGAGTACGACATCACGAAAAGATGTTGATTCAATCGCTGGTTGTCTCACACTTCTGCAAGCGTGGATTTACGAGTACTTTCTGTGCTTTCGGCCTCATCAGGGTACCTTGACGGAGGAGCTTAATATCCCTCGTGCGTCTGCTTGGGATGTTGGGTCGAGATGCCCTAACAAGAGCATGAAGCGCCTCTTAGCTTTTCGTGCTAGACTGGATAAGCTGATTGATCGTGAGGTTAACTGGCCCCCGTACGGAGTTGATCCTGCACAACACGTGCCACCCACTTTATTTACAGGGTGCATCCAGTACCGTAGCATCATTGAGCCGTACATGCCTAATCGAGTAGTTCGACAACTTGGATTCGTGCAGGACATTCCAAAGAGCATTATCACGCCTGAGAAGGCCAAGAGACCGACCAACTTGAAGACGTTTCGAGTAGAATTTCTGACCGAGATGACATCTGTGATGTGGACTAGGTTTGTCCCTGGTTCGCCTTTAAGTGTAGTTTTAGGCACCCACACCAGACTTGGTCGTCGAGCTCCTATGGTCGCTCCTGGTTACATGAAGTGGTTGTATAGATTTTCTCACCCTCGTGTATCTCCTGGGGGTTCATCAGCTGGGAGTAGCAATCTACCTGAGAGGACTAACACGGATTATGTAATAGTTGTGTTTTATTATACTATTAATCCGACTTCCAATAATTGTAATTTCTATAATATGTTGTTTTCTTATTTATAGTGGATGAATCGGTCCATGGAGATTCACCAAAGAGCACTGGATGAGTATCCCAACATGTCGCCTGAAACAAGGGCAATGACTAAGCAGCTAGTAATTGACTGAAAGGCGATGATGGGGTTGTAGATTACTCTTTATTCGTATTATTGGTTGCATTTTTATTACTTGTCTTCATTATTTTATATTACTTTGTATTCGGCATGTAATGTAAGAACTTGAAGGCGATGATGGGGTTGGAACTTAGTTTAATTACTTTTATTAACCTATATTACATAGTTATAAATGTCCAACCTTAGTGAAAGTACATAAATGAGTTCACTACCTAATTAATGCATCCCACATGTTCCTTATAACTTCATATTGCTGATCCCATCCATCAACACTTGGCTCGTGGTGCTCGGTCCACCAACCTGCAATCGGGGGAAGAGGTGAATCTTGTGCAAGATCAGGACGGATGAAGTGTGACCCACCAACTGTAGCGATCACGAACTCTCGAGCGGGTGCCCTGACCGTGTTTCGTGCCCGTAACGGTAACACCGTGATGCATCGGTAGTAGCAAGTTGGTACGGTGCCTACACCGAGAAGAATCACCCTTGCGTTGAACCAAGTAGCAATAGGAAATAAATCTTGAATTGCTACCATCCAATGCTGTGAATCAATCGCCCCACCATCCCATCGAATACGTTTTACATTCATCCAATCCTGTAAATCCTTTCGTACAATATTGGATGAGCGGCGACCTCGTTTGCTATTGTTTCTCGAGCGGTAAACCATTGCGCTTGATCACCAAAGAAGAAGTCAGCCACACAACGAAAGCCACAGTTTCCATCACCAATTACATCCTTCCATGCCCTGATGTAAGGCAACATCGGTCCTAGAAGCAAGTGCAAATACCTGCATTGACTGATGTCACATTGATATTCTACACAAAATAAATGCTCAAATTCACTTCCTACCAGAAATATTCTTGAGGCTAGGCACTTGACTGATGACTCTCATTGCCCATGGTTCCCAACTGAGCGAGAGACTATTATTCATGTTGTGATATCCTGCCCGAGCACTCGTAATTTATGGCAAAAAAGTGGATGTGAGGATGCTTTGTGTTTTAGGGATGTTGAAAGCTTTGGTGAGGTATTGAATGTTTGGTCAGAAAAATTGTCTAAAAATGTTAGACAAAGATGTCTCTTCTTGGCTAGGTTCATTTGGTTTCGACGAAACAATTGGGTGTTTGAGCAGCAGTGTGAACCTGATGAGGCTATTCTTGACAGGCATAGGAGACTGGTGGTAGATTTTAGCAATTACACAGAACGTATATACAGTACTATCACTGCAAAGCAACCTGTTACCAGAGGTGTGTGGTCTCCCCCCACCCCTTGAAGTGGTGAAGATTAACGTGGATGCCTCAACTCAGGAAGATGGTTGAATTAGTGTGGGTGTTGTGGCTCGACACAGCCTTGGGGCTGTTAAGTTTGTTGCGGTCAAGAGGGTTCAGGCTCGCTGGGAATAGAGGTGGGTATGGGACGTGTCGGGCTGCCGCGAGCCATGCCTCGTCGTGCCTTGTGATGGCTCGTGCCGGGCCGTGTCGTGCCTGCTTCTTGGCGGGTTGTGCCGTGCTGGGCCACCATTTGGCACACCCCAGCCCACGGCACGGCACGACCCACGTGCCTGGCGTACCGTGCCGGTTAGGGCAACGTGCCGCCCAATTTTTTTTTTTTAAATCGATATATTTAAATATTTTATTAATTTATGTTTTTTTATTATTATATTATTATTGTTCTTTATATTTTTCTTATTTTTATTATTATTTATGTTATTTTTATTATTAATATATTATAATTAATTTTATTTTTTATTATGATACATCTTTATTATTATTTAGAAAAAAACAACAATGCATATACTTAAAAAACTGACTAGTGCGATAGCACAAGAATTGATGAATAACTTATCTTATTATACGCCGGTACGATAAATCGATAAAACAATAATTGATAATGATAAAAATGGTACAATAATTTATGAATAACTTAACTTCATTGCTTATTTTATTATACCGGGTTCGATAATACAAATAATAGCCATAATTAATAGTATGTAATCTATTCTTCTTGTTCATCTTCGTCTTCTTCTTCTTTTTCAAGTTCATCGGCCAATTGAATTGATTGGGAACTGTTAGAACCCGACGTTCCTTCATCATCGTCGTTTTGTGCATAAGTACGATCTTGGGAGCGAGTTTTGGCATCCAACCAATCCTTGAAACAAACACACATTTCAAGTGTTTCGGGTTTTAGACTTGTTCTTCTATCGTCTAAAATCCTTCCTGACGCACTAAAAGCTTTTTCGGAGGCAACAGATGAGACTTAGATAGCAAAAATATCATGAGCCATTGCTGCCAAATTGGAAGTTTCGTGCTTTGTGATTTCCACCAATCAAGGATGTTGAGGTCGTGCTTCTCTTCGTCGTCCATGCCTTTCATGAAGTTGAAACTTAAATACATTTGCAACTCCAAAACATCGCTTTGTGTTCTCCTAAATGATGATTCACTACCTGAAAACTTAGACATCATGTTAGCAGCTTGTGCAAATAAAACTTTGGCCCTTTTACTTACATTTTTGGATGATTGAGAAGGAGCAAATCGAGATACGGTTCCATATTTAGATTCATAAACTCTATATGGGGCAAAAAATTGATTGGTCACATTAGTTTTATAAGATTCAACATCTTTTTCAAATTTCATGCATTGAAAATAAATATCAATTAATAAAAATGTGTCATCATACTTTTGCCTTGGATATAATATAGAAGCAAAAATATAATCATAGGAAGAGTAGTGTAATATTTACGCCATTTTTCCTCCATTGATGGAAGATATCCATCATAATCGTGTTGTGATCAGTGTTCATCAAAAAGTTGTGCATGTAAACATGCATTGCTAAGAAAAGAATGAGCACAAGGATTATAAACAGAAGAAAAACAATGTGACATACTATATAATAATTGTAAAAACTGCATATATTTTTCACAGTTAGACCAATCACCATCTAATAAAGCAAATTTTGGAAATTTTTTATTATAAAAAATTGTTAATGGACCCTTGTACTCGATTGTCATACTCAACATTTCATAGGTGGAGTTCCACCTAGTTGCACAATCCGTTTTGATTTTAATACCTTTTATCCTTTGTTGCCTGCAAAAAGCTTTCCATTCCTGATATCTCGTGTTAGAGCTGTTAATAGACATAATAGCATTTCTAATTTTGTGATAAAACGGACCAATTGCTTAGGTTCCATCCTTCACACACAAGTTTAGAACATGACAAATGCATCTAATATGAAGTGCATCTCCATCTAATATTACATTGGTCAATTGTGCTTTAACTAAATTTGCACTAAATGTCATAGAAGTTGCGTTATCAAAAGTCATAGACATGATTTTGGACCTAAGATTATATGCATCAATAGCTTGCATTAAATGACGAGAAATATTAAGACCAGTGTGATGGTATTTAAGCATTTTAAAATGGATAATGTGTTTTTGTAATATTCAATCAGTATCCAACCAATGACAAGTCACACACAAATAGTGATATCCGTAACCACTATCCCATGCATCAGCGGTCAAAGAAACTCTAAAATTAAGATTACTCAATTCATCATATAACTTCAATTTATACATGACAGCCGAACGGACAATTTTTCTAGAGATTTTTTGTGTTGGGGTTGTAGTGCTCGGTTAATGTAATTGTAAAAGGGATCATTTTCGACAAAAAGAAAGGGTTGTTCGGCATGTACTAACATTCTCCCAAGCTCATCCCTATCTCTCTCATAATTGTAAGTGAAGCCATGTGGATGGAATTGAGAAATTTTGGGTTGGGTTAGATCACTAGATGGTTCACCACATTTTTTTACATGTCTAGTAAGATGTCCCGTCCCTCCCTTGGTTTCGGCCGAGTAAATTTTCTTACATGTCTTACACTTGGCTTTGGTTCCATCTCTACTTAATTGAGAATGTGTCCAAACATAACTCTTTCGGTTGGTAGCGGCTTGTTCCTCTTTGGTACACCATTCTAATGTATTTAGAATTTGGGTGTTTGGCATTTGGTTGGATTGTTCACTCGACCCGGCGGCATGTGTTTGGCTACCTTGACTAGTAAGATAAGAAAATTCATGTTGTGAGCTGTATAAATGAGGTGAGAATTGGTTTTTGAAATCCTGAACTAGACATAGTTCAAGGAGACATATTGTCAAATTGTTCGAATCCTCCCATGGTTTGGGGATGAAAGAAGGGGGTGGAAGTGTTCGGAATGGGCATGTCAGGGGAGGGCATTGAAGTGTATGAATTTGGTAATTCCCTACTAATACTAGTACGTTTTCACTTGGCTTTCCTAGAGGAGGAGGAAGGGTTCGGGTTTGATGCCATGATTAATAATAATAGCAATAATAATAACAACAACAACAACAATAATAATACAAATAATAATAACAATAACAATAATAATAATAACAATAACAATAATAATAACAACAACAACAATAATAATAACAATAATACTAACAATAATAATAATAACAATAACAATAATAATTGTGACAAGAACAATAATTATAACAATAATAATAAATTAATATATAACAATAATAATAATAAATTAAAATAACGTAGAGTTAGATCTTACAACGACGCTTCGATTGTTTTCCGTTAATTAATTCCCCGAACTTATAATATTTTTTTTAATTTTTATAATTGAGAGAATTAGAGAATTAAATATTATATGAGATTTTTTTTCTTTTTTTGAGAAGTAGAGATTATAAGAGAGTAGGAATTAGAGAATAAGAGATTTAAGAATAAATGAGTTGATGAATTGTGGAAAAAAATGGAGGAAGAAGTGAAGTATATATAGGAAAAATGATGAATTAGCCGTTAGAGTGGTTGTTAGAATATAGCCATTAATATGGTTGTTACAATATAGCCGTTTATGGCTGTTAGAAGCTGCAGAAAGTAGTCGTTATGCACGAGCCGTGCCTGGCGGGCCGAGTGTCGTGCTAGGTCGTGCCTGGCGGGCCGCGTGTCGTGCTGGGTCGTACCTGGCCATGTCGCGTGCCGTG